ACTGGAGAGTGTGTGGGGCAGCAGGTTTCAGACCTTGGACAGCAGACAGTAAAGGGAAGAGACATATGTCATGGGTTACCTTACAGGACAAAAGGCACTTTATAGATGTGATTAAACCAAGGATCTTGAGGTGCAGCGACTATTTGCCATGAGTCCCTCTCAGTGAGGGAGGGAGGCAGGAGCGTGGGAATGAGAGATTGGGGAACCGCACTGGGGACTGAACGCGGAAGGAGGGGCCGTGAGCCAAGGAGCGCAGGCAGCTTCTAGAAGCCGGGAAAGGTAGGCAGTCAGCCCTGCCGCCACCTGGATGTTAGCTCCGTAAGATCCATTTTGACCTCAGAGCTGTAAGAGAATAAATGTGAGCTATTTTAAGCCACTACATCGGTGTTCGTTTTCCAGCAGCAATAGGAAAGTGATACAGAGAGGGAACATGTCCAACTCACTCTGTGAGGCCCACGCTATCTTGATACCAAAAGCAGACCATGAACATAAACCCTAGAAGATAAAGATCTACAAAGAGGCTAATTCCTCATGACAAATGGGGCTTCACCGGAAAACATTACTGTGGTTTAACACGCCATGATTTTCCAGCCTGCCCCCGATTTCTTGAACGGACCTGGGCTCCAGCCACCGATCCTGAGTCATCTTCCATCGTCCCGTTCTGCCTGGACCTCAGTATTTACCTGCACCGGCTTTCTCCCCACTCCCTGCATGTACGAAGGGCCTCCATGCTCACTCAACTCCTCTGGGAGCCCTCTCGCTGGGATCACACATTCATTCTTCACCTCTCGTCTTCTGCCCCAAGCAGTTTACCAAGGCATTTCCCAAAACTAACCAGGAAGAAATACGGAGGTAGCCATGAAGGTAATCTTGTCGAATTACAAGCACAGACAAGGAAACTGAGGCTCAAAGGCTTGTGTGACCTGCCCAAGACTAGGCAGTTGATATCACTTCCCCTCCTGTTAACTAAAGGACAGGAAGTCTTAGAGACATGACTTTCCCGTTAGCCCCCGGGGCAGGTGTGGGCCTATTTTAAGATACAATCAATTGTGCTTCGAGCATTTTGGAGACGCAGCCTGGCCTCCCCCACCCAGCTCGGTGGGGGCTTGTGAAATGAAACCGAGATGTGTGGCCTGCCGGATGCTGTCTCGTGGATGCAGGAATGTGGGTGTTGTCTCCTTGCCTCAGGAAGTGTAAACACTAATGCTTCCACTGTGTGTGAGGCTTACTGAGAAATACCCATAAAATTAGCTGCTCTTCCAGTAAACACAGCAGCCGATCTAAAGCGTCTCCGGTCTTCTCCTTCCCTCTACCATGGGTTTCTTCCGATACCGCTCACTCCCATTATGCAATGTGACTTGGCCTTACGTTCTATTTGTAAATAATAGTGTCCAGTAGTAATAGAAATCAGTACTTATTCCCATGGTCAGTGCTCACGAAGACTTCTGCCCCTATGTGGTGTTTGCTCAGCCTGGACGGAGACCCGGGTGGTATTTGGTGCGTGAACACAGCACACATATAGTCCCTCGGACCCCCACAGCTCCTCCAGGCACAGCGTGGACGGCAGTCAGGAGGCGTGGGAGCTGGAGCTCACGTGCAGACCCCAAGGCTGGTGCTGAGAGATGCATCTAGTCCCATGGGCACAGCACCGTGTCGGGAAGGCCTGGCGTGGGCGTCAGAGCCTCGGGTGGTGACGCTGTGTCCTGGCCAGGGGCAGAGCGGGAGGGCCCAGGAGCCGAGAAAGGCAGGCAGCATCAGGGAAGCCTGTGAACAGGCAGCAGGGACAGCCACCGCCGCGTCCGGGATCTCTCTCCCACCCAGGGTGCAATAGGGCCTCAGCTCTATGAGGACCGAGACCCTGGGCAGGTTACCAAGACGAGGTCCCCAACTCATCCCACAAGTATTTTGTGAGTGACCACCGTGAGCGAGGCATTATTTGATGGCTGGAGAAACAGCAATGAAAAAGACAAACTAGCTCCTACCCCCATGGAGCTTATAATCTAGCGAGGAAGAGAGAGCATGAACTAACCACAGAAATGAAATGACTGATTAGTTACTAAAATGATGAGTGCTGTGAGGAGGAGGTACCAGGGCTCGAAGAGTGCCTGGCAGTGAGCCCGCTGGGTCTGGGAGTCACAGGCATTGCTGACCGCACAGGCTGAGTTGGCTGAGGGAAGACATCGGTGCCTTCAATAGCTGACGAAGTGATCTCGTGCCCAGTCTATTCCCGGGATTGAGCTGAGCATCTGGGACACGCAAATGGACAAAAAAGGTTTGTCGACATGAACGTGAAGAGCACACGCGGTAAAAACCAGGCAGTGCTAAGCACCTCTCCCACACATGAGGGGGAGGGCCTGGGCGCGAGGCACAGGGTAGGCAGGGTCTAGAGCACAGCGTCTTTTTCATCACACGGAGCACGAGATGACAGGAGCCCATTTTCCTGGATTTAGGAAAGGCAAGGGCAGCATGTTACCTCCTGTCTCCACATGGCAGCTGCTCTGCCTGTGACTGAATGAGTGGATGAATGGCTCTTGGCCCATCTGTGAACAATAAGTGTGTTTGAGGAAATTGATTCTCAGCTTGTTTATAAGGAAGAATTGAGACAAGGAGAAGGAATCGCAGCATCTAGATCAGTGTGGCCATGTAGGTTTGCATGTTCCATTATTTACAAATTGGATACGTGGGCCCCACAATGCTGATCTGTTCATTAATAAAACACTCATACAGAGGGCACCTTTAACAGGAAGAGCTGAAAGTGGAAATTCAGTTATTTCCTTCCTCTGCCCCAGTGGAGATCATTTTAGAAAGCGGTGCTCTGGCTCTATGTGTTGGATGGGAGTGTGAAGATGGAGGAGACTTCGGCCAAAAACAGGTGGCCAAGAAGAGACACTGGCCTGCAGGAAGGAGGGACACTGGCCTGTAGGAAGGAGGGACACTGGCCTGTAGGAATGAGGGACACTGGTCTGCAGGAAGGAGGACACTGGCCTGCAGGAAGGAGAACACTGGCCGGAAGGAATGAGGGACACTGGTCGGCAGGAAGGAGGACACTAGCCTGCAGGAAGGAGAACACTGGCCGGAAGGAATGAGGGACACTGGTCGGCAGGAAGGAGGACACTAGCCTGCAGGAAGGAGAACACTGGCCGGAAGGAATGAGGGACACTGGTCGGCAGGAAGGAGGACACTAGCCTGCAGGAAGGAGAACACTGGCCGGAAGGAATGAGGGACACTGGTCGGCAGGAAGGAGGACACTAGCCTGCAGGAAGGAGGTGTCCACGCATTGAGATGGAAAGGATGACAGATATTCAGACAGAAACATCTATTGGGCAGGTGGACTGCGGGCCTGGAGTTGAGGGAAAATGTTGGGGCTAAAGGAACAAACTTAGAAGCCAGGACAGAAAATAACTGTTAATACCTCTAACCCAGGTAAATGGCCTGAGGGAGACTAGGTAGGAAGGAGAGGCCCCTGGGAACACTACCGTCGGGGAGAGGAGAAGTGAGGGGGCCTGGGAGCTAGGAGGACCGGGATTTACAGAATCGTAGGTGCAAAGCCTGCACATAAGGACTGAGAAAAGGATTCAGTGTGTCAGACTGTCCAGGTGACCTTCCGCCGGCCAGGTGAGGGACCGGAGCGTGCTTCCTCAGTCTGCAGCCTGACGCGAGCAGGCTGGTGGGAAAAGCTGGAAGCAGCTGCCGCGTCCTGGGCCGAATGCCTTCTGCAAAGCACAAGTCGTTGCCGCGTGCACCACGCTGAGGCGCCTGGCCTGGCCTGGCGTGGCAGAGAAACGGTAACTCTGACTGCAGTGGTGGTAGGAAACATTCACAACCAGAAAAGAGTCGTTTCTTTAGCCTGTGCTCTTGGGCCAGAAAGACCCAGTTCACCTCCGGCCTGTCTTCAGACCATCGGAGCCAGATGGAAATCCGTCTCCATTCTTCACAGCTCTGGAGGCAACCTCTCAACAGCTCTTGTCTGCCCTGCAGTTTCCGAAAACCCTTGCCAAGGTCAACTGGAAAACAGGCCCTTGTGACCCAGAGTTTCTGAATAGCTCACTTGATGAGTAATGAGCTGATCAACAGGAGAAATAAAGTCGGAGATGGCCTGCTTCTGGAAAGACCAGGCGTGGGGTCATGGGAGGCCCAGTGAGTGGCCTGTGAGGGGCGCGCCCAGCCTCCGGGGTGCGCTCCCGGGAGCTGGCTCGGGAACTGAGGGGCTCTGTCCTGCACGGAGACATCAAACGCAGGAAGCACAAAGGAGCGCCTGTGCTGTGCCCCGAGAATAAACTCGGGCGAAGTTACTCACAAGGAAGGATTGTCATCAAGATCTTGTCATTGAAGCGTTTCCATTTCTCGGTGCCCAGAGCAGATAACCCTTGAGCTGGCGCAGCGGACTCCAAGACAAAGGGCATCACTTAACCGCAGGAGGCGCGTTGGGAGAGGGAGAGGGAGAGGGAGAGGGAGAGGACGAGGGGGTACTGTGCCGAAAGCACTGGGGTGGAAACAGAGGCTTGCTGCAGGTAAAGAGACAGAGCTCAGAGTGGAATTGTGGGAAATACCATTTTCTCATATTTTCAAAAAATAATCAGGCATTCAAACATTTTTTTTTTAATTCTCACCTGAGGATATTTTCCCATTGATTTTCAGAGAGAGCCAAAGGGAGGAGGAGAGACAGAGAGAAACATCGGTGTGAGAGAAACATATTGGTTGGTTGCCTCCTGCCTGTGCCCCAACCAGGGTCCGGGCCGGGGAAGGGCCTGCAACCGAGGTACGTGCCCTTGACCGGAATCAAACCCAGGACCCTTCAATCCTCAGGCCGGCACTCTATCCACTGAGCCAAACTGGCTAGGGCTAAACATTTATTGATCCACTCCCAGGCACCAGGCACTAGGCTGGACAATAGGACCTCACGACATATATCCTTGGAGAGTGAACTGCCTACTGAGGGGATCAGGTGTGACCCCACCACCGTGGGACAGCATGGAAGGTGCTACAGAGGCAGGTACAGGATGCTACGAGGGGGTGAGGAGACGTCCAGCCAAGAGAGGAAGACAAGCTACAGGAGCGGCACTGAAACATGGCTGCACCTGGGAGTCCTCTCATCTGAGCTGCAGGCGGAGGCCCGCTGCCATTTGCAGATCAAATATTCATGGGTGAAAACAGTCCCCATCAAGTAACCAGAAAGGTCTCTGCCTCAGTTTAATTTGCTAAGACACAAGTCTGAATGGCCTGCCAGGAGGCCAGAGTGCACGGCCAGCCACTGAGCTAGTGACGGCCACGCCCTCCGCCGGGCAGCCCTGTCCCAGCACGGCTCAGCTCTTCCCAGCGACATCCACGGAGTAATTCTCAGGCTGGTTTAACTGTTTTTCTCTGCAGAGTCAGGGAACTACGGAGTTAATAAGGTACAGATGTCATAAGGTAAGGAGTTTATTTTAATAGCAACATTTATTTAAGTAGTTTTAGAAATTACCTTGGCCCCATAGGCTATAAAACCATTAAAGAGTCCCTTACATTTTTTTCAGTTATACTTTACTGCTTTTTATAGTGGAAATTATATGTCATAGTGACTTTCATGGTTTTGGAGACTCGTGAAGGTCAGGGGTGAAGCCTTTGAGAACGTCAAGGGTTCAAGTGCATGAATAATGAGTTACATTTCATTGGCACTCTGCTGTTAGAGCCTGGTCTCAATTTAAGTTTGAAAAAAAAAAGATTTCTTTTCCTTTATATCAGCGGTTCTCAACCTGTGGGTCGCGACCCCTTTGGCAGTCGAATAACCCTTTCACCAGGGTCGCCTAAGACCATCCTGCATATCAGATATTTACATTACGATTCATAACAGTAGCAACATTACAGTTATGAAGTAGCAACTAAAATAATTTTATGGTTGGGTCACAACATGAGGAACTGTATTTAAAGGGCCAGGAGGTTGAGAACCACTGCTTTACATGATTTTCCTATAATGTGGGGGAAGGAAGGGGACTGTGGCTGCACCCTGTTTATGAAGGCTTGGCCTGTGCTACCAGACGACAAAGGATGACACTTATGCACAAAGTTGCACCCTGACAAGTAACTCAAATCAACAAAGAGAACTAAATTCCCCCAATTGAATGCTTTTCTCTTGGGCTATTTCCTGGAATCTAATAACCTCTGAAACGCAAACTCTGGCCCCTGCACAAAACACCCTCCAAGTTCCTCTAACTTAACACAATAGCACACCTGCTCGTCCGCTGCCCTCCTGTCTCCTTGTCCTGACCGTCAGGATCGCATGAGTTCATCTCCTGAAGCTGGACAATTCAGAGCTGGCCAGACTCTTCCCCCAACACCTCCCATCAGTTACCAAATAAATAGATTTTACCTCTTCCCTGCAGCCGGGCCTCTCCAGCCCAGGGCGCTGCCCTTGCTCAGGGCCAGGTCATCTGTCTGTCCTCACAACATCCCGACACACTGCCTGTAGCTACCGTTGGTCTATTCTCCACATTGACAGAGTAAATGTTCTCAAAATGCAAACCTTGCATCCATTGGCTTCCACAGGTGATCGAGATGTGGGATCTGATGCCCGTGGCCTACACATCACACCTTGACTGCGACCGTTTTTCACACCTCCAGCATTTTGCATTTGCCCAACTCTTGCCCGCACCGTCCGGTCACCCTTCTCCTCTTTGCGAGCCTCTATCTGTCTCTTCAGGATCCGCTCTGAGGGTCACTACTTCAAGACAGCCTCGTGTGACTCCGAGGCTCCCCTGTCCGGGTCCCACAGGATTGGGTACACGTCACAATCTGCAGGGACAGCTTGTTAACCGAGGGATCTCCAGCGATCCCTGAGCCATGGTCACCTTTGCGCCCTGGTGCTCTGCACATGCACGGCGCCCCAGGCAGGCAATGTTTGCTGGATTAATGGACCGTGATTGAGATCTGGGCTACCTCGGAAAGTGAGAGAAGCATGTTATCAAAGAGCCAGACTACTTTTTTTTGTTAATTATAAAGTGCATCAAGGTGCCAGCAAAGTTAAAACAAGGATGAAGAGTGCTTAGATCTCAACCAAGTTTTAAATTACTCACCACAACTCTTCTAGCTACAGACTAACTTTAGGCAGCCTCCTGCGGCCAGTTAGAGTATTTCACACTTGGGCACCAGTGAATGTCCCATAATTATAGGAAAAGCTATTAGTTTTGAAAATATAAATGTAAAAAGATGCCCAGGAACAGCATCTGCTAAATATTTTTTTCTGCATATTTGACCACAATATCAGACACAGGATGTGGTCATACCGAATGCGATGCCCAGTGCAGGGTGGGGCGGAGGGCGGCAGTCTCCACAGGGGGTTACAGTGAGGCCCTTCTACTTTCTCATTCATTCACACACACAACTGTGGTCGCCACCGTGTGCAGAGACAACGCAGGACCCCTGAGATTCCAGGCTTCCGAGGGCAAGATGGATACAAACCGCAAGGGCATCCTGGACAGTTACTGCTAAATCCAGCCCTGTTCCAACAGGTGCTCTTCCCCTTGTCCTCAGCGGGTCACGGGTTACCTGGGGTGACCTCATCCAGCTAGCTGGTCGCGCGGGGCACAGCCGTCGCTAGGACGCTAGAACGCAGCTACGCTCGCGTCCACAGTGCGGCGTGTGGGTATGTGCGCTGCGGCTGCTGAAAGAGATGTTCTCAGATGGAAAAGATCCGCGTGAAGGCAGGCGGAAGTAGACGCTGAGCTCCGGCTGCCCCCGAAACTGCTGGGATCTTGGTGACTGGAGCTTAGGTACCCTCCCTCCAGGCCCAGGTGGGAAGAAAACTTCCAGGCAAATGCAGGGAAGACCCCTGTCCGCTGCTCTTAGCACCTCTGCTGGAGCCTCGACCTCAGCTTCCACAAGGAGGGGCACGGGGGAGCCCCATTACAATAAAGGACCCCTCTCAGCTACAGCTGCTCCCCTAGCCCCTTTCTGCCTCCAACGTGCACTGCGGGTTCCCACCCTGAATTCTGACAGCGCTGCGCCCCTCTCCACCCCCCACCCCACCAATCCTGGCCGGCCTTGTCCCCCACGCCCCCTCCCACTTTGCCTGGCCTGG